GAGCTTCATACTCAGGCTGGCCTAGAATTCTTTCTAGGGCCAAGGCTGCCCTTGAACCTCTGATACTCACGCCTCCATCTCCCACACCCTGTTTCATTTCCACAACTCCCACCCACTGGTGTCCTCTGTGTGTGTGAGGCCGATCACTGACGCTCACTCCTCCTGCTTTAGCCCCTCAAGCGATGGGATAACAAGACTGCCATCACGTCCAGCTTTTTCTTTTATGTTGTGCTATCAGTCATTCTAAAGAATCAAGCCAGATGTCTTCAAAAATCTCCCTTAATTTGGATTTATCTGCCTGCTCCTCATTATTAGGTTGAAATTAAATGTTCTTCGTAGAACACCATATAGTCCATGCTCCCAAAGAATTGGTACCCTTGAATCTCACTGGTGTAACTAAGATGCACGCTGACATTAAACGTGAGAAACAAGCAGTAAGCAGGATCGACGTATCCTTTGACCCCCAGGTGCGGTGCCTTTTTCCTTCCAGGGGAATTCTTTGTGTGTTCTCTCTAAATGCACGCTGCGCTGGCTCTCTCTCCACCCCGCTCCGCTGCGCCCACCCCTCCAGGCTGTCCTCTCCCCTCTAATTGCATTAATGTCTTCGGCCTTTTCTTTCACGTGAGCTGCGATGCCTCAGCCTTCCTCTCTGCCGGTGACGGATTTTCAACCACAGCTATTCAGTTCCTCGACATTTTTCATCCTCTGGTTTTGTAACACGCTGTTTTATTCATTTCCTAAAATCCTACTCTGCCTTTCATCCCGTTCTCACCTTTTATCGTTTCGTCTGCTTTTTTTTAAAGACTGAATTCATGTTCATATCAAGTTGTCGTCGTGTTGAGGAGTCCTTGGCTCAGTTAGATCTTCCTCCTGTACGCGCTTTGTTCTTCTCCCCCTTTGTCCTTGATATAATGTGCTCGCCGTTGCCATGCGATTTCGCCCATTCTGCTCATGCCTGAGCAGCTTTGTCAGTTCGATCTGGCTCCCGCACACTGCGGACGACTTCTTGATGCCCCACTGTGAGAGACTAGTTTATTTTGCCTCTTGAAGGTAAAGCGAAAGGATTGGATACTTTATATATTTTTATTCACGTTTTTTGTAGCCCGGAGAATTGCGTGAGAAGGGGCAAGTGGGATGGCTAATTTAAGACAGTAGCAAATCTGTGTTAAAACACAAACCCTCCTAAGAGATTTCGGGCATGCTCCCACGGCCCCTCCGCCCAGGCTCGGGCAGGGGGGGCTGCTTAGTGTTCCTGTCGGCGACCATTTGGCGTTCCCATCTGTTTTTAAAGTTCACTGCATTTGTTTGTGGCTCTTCCCCGTGTTGAGTCGATCACGCGTGGTGCTGTTTCCACGCGTGCAGGTTTCACGGAATCCCCCACCCCACCCCCAGGGGGAGATGGGGTTTCCCTGCGCCCACCACAGGGTGCAGACGAGGCACACCACAGCACTCACTCCGTACCAGGGTGCAAAGGGAAATGAATCTTTCCTCCCCGTCTGTGCTGGGTACTGAAAGAAGGGCCTCATGCTGGCTAGGCAAGGGTCCCAAACACCAAGCGCTGAGGTGATCTCTCTCTCTCTCTCTTTTCTTTTTCTTCTCTTTTTCTTTGTCTTTTCTTTTTTTTCTTTTGGTTTTTCAAGACAAGGTCTCTCTGTGTAGCCTTGGCTGTCCTGGACTCCCTTTGTAGACCAGGCTGGCCTTGAACTCAGAGATCCACCTGCCTCTGCCTCCCTGTGTGCTGTGTGCCACTGTGCCCAGCAGTCATCTTTTTTTTTTTTTTTTTTAAGGACACTTCGACTGGCCGTCCTAACCAGGAGAACACAGTCTGTCACCAGCTGCGGCAGCAGCTAATGGATCCCTTTGCTTGTTGTTTTTGTTTTTATATTTTTGTATTTTTGAGACAAAGTCTCACTATACTAGTCTAGAACTCACTATGTAGACCAGGCTGGCCTTGAATTTACAGTGATTCCCCTACCTTTGCCTCCCAATTACCTTACATTTGCAGAATCCCCGGTGTGTTTGTGCTGTTGCTGATGTCTATTTTTACACATTTCTTTAATGTTATTCATCATTTATATTCCTGGTCTAGTATTAACTGTCTTAATTGCTGTGGTCTAATAAAGGATTCTGATGTCTACATCATTACTCTTGGTATTTTTATGCATTTGCTGGTTATATGTGTATATGTATGTATGTATATATTTTTTTTCTTTTTTTTTTTTTTTGTGTGTGTGTAGCCCTGTCTGTGCTGGAACTCTTTCTGCAGACCAGGCTGGCCTGGAACTCAGAGATCTGCCTGCTTCTGCCTCTTGAGTGCTGGGATAAAAGGACACCCAGATTAGATACTTTTTGTAAAACAATGTTTCTCATATGCCCCAGGCCAGCCTTGAATTTGCAGTAAAGCTAAGGAGATTCTTGAACTTCTGATCCGCCTGCCTCCAAGGCCCACAGGCTGGGGAAGGGGCTGTGGCTTGCTTTCATGCTGCATGAGCATTCCACCAAGGAATCAATACCACCGGCTGCATTGGAAATTCTAACTCGAGGGAACCAGCCACACCTGGTGGCAAATGCCTGCACTCCCAGTGCTTCTGGGGCTGAAGCAGAAGGAATGAAAGTTCTGGGCCAGCCTGGGCTACATAGTGAGCACTAATAATTATGAAAGGCCAGCCAGGTCAATGAAGCAAGACTCTGTCTCAACAACAACACACAAAAGGGCACCTAGGAGGTACAGCATTTGGGCACTCTAGGTTAGATAGGATTACCCTGAAATGGTAGGTGGAGACACACACCTACAGTCCCCGCTCCTCAGGAAGCTGAGAAGAAGGAGCCCAGCAGCCCTGAGTTCAAGAGCAGCCTGAGCAACACAGCAAACAGCAACACAAGACACTGCAGCTTAGACTGAAACATCAGGACGTTTAAGGCTCCACACCAGGCTGGGTGGTAGTGGGGCACACACCTGTAATCCCAGCGCTTGGGAAGCAGAGGCAGGTGGATCTGTGAGCCCGAGGCCAGCCTGGTCTACAGAGAGAGTGCCAGGACAGCCAAGACTACACAGAGAACCCCTGTCTCAAAAACCAAAATAATGATAATAATTGCTAACCATCACCTTTCCACTCTGTACACACTATCCAACAAGAGTGAAGCAGTGGGCTTCCCCAACATTTTATTTTCAAATGTTGCAAACGTACAGAAGGAAAGAAACGCTTCAGAGCCTGTCAGGTGGCTCAGCAGGCCAAGGTGCTGGCCGCCAAGCCTGGGGACCCGAGTTCCGTCCTCAGGAGACCTGACCCCTGCAAGCTGCCCTCTGCCGCATATGCCAACGCGTGAACACGTGTGAGCTCACACATACACAGTAAGCAAATACATGAGTGAATGAATGAATGAATGAACGGGTAAGTGAATAAGTGGGTGTTTTCAAATAAGAGCACTTCAGGAGAGTGACCCCACCGCCCAGGCCCACCGCCGACTCTCTACTACTCTCCGATTGCTTCTTCACTCGGTGGAGCTGCCTCATCTCAGCACCTCTCTGAGCATCGGCTTCCTGGCCGAGTGTCCACACACAGTGGGTTCCCAGAGCCTCGGGCACCGAGGAAAGCACGACTCGGGGTTTCAGGGCTCCACAGCACCTTCGGCTCCCGGGGGGCTGCCTGGAAGCAGGGTACCCACCTGAACAGGCATGCCCAGCTCCAGCTTCAGCCCACAAATGGGGTCCACGAAGATGGTGAGGACAGGTTCCGAGGGGTCCTGGACGAAGCGCTCCAGCACCATGTCGTGCTCGGTTGTCCACGTGGACTCGGCCAGTCCAGTCAGCATAGTTCGAGCGAGGAAAAGGGGCTTCTAGGAAGAGCAGAGACAGCATGTCAGGGACGCCTGCTCCACCCGGCCGCAGCCTGGCTGGGTGAGCGGAGACGGAGAGGAGAGCTGGGGCGACGGGGTGATGGGTTTCAGGCTTCCAGAGGAGGGAGACAATAGACCCCCGGCCTCCCCAGGGAGACAGCATGCGTCACAGAGGGAAGCCCGGGGCTGGGCCGCTGTCTTCCCCCAAACAGCTCACTTCTGCCCGTGAAATCCCTAACACTCTCAACCCCAGAGAAAGGTGAAGGAAGGAAACACTAGGACACGAGCCTGCATCAAGGAGTTCGGAGCAAGGAGACGGCAGACGGGACAAGGACCCAGCAGCTTCCTTGCGAAGCTGCCCCTCTCAGGCGCTGACGTGTGACAATCAAGCAATAAGGAGGAATCAAGGGGCACAAGGGAAGAAAAACTGACAAAACTAAGGAACAAATTGGTGCAACAGAATAAAAATGGAAACGATGGGAACAGTAAAGACGTGAAGCCCCGCTCTGCAGGCCTTCGCCAGGGCCCCGGGAGATGAAGGCAGATCACAATGTCTAAAGAAAAGAAAATAACAGACACCTTCCTAAACGCTTTCCTATACAGGATGTGGGCGAATTAATGAGACAATGTCAAAAGCCCAATAAATAAACAGACCGAAAGACATAGACAGCCGGGCACAGTGGCGCACACCTGTAATCGCAGCACTCAGGAAGGCCAGGCAGGTGGACCTTTGTGAGTTCAAGGCCAGCCTGGTCTACAGAGTGAGTCCAGGACAGCCAGGGCTACACAGAAAAACCCTGTCAAAAAAAAAAAAAAAAAAAAAAACAAAAAAACACCCCCCCAAAAAGACATAGTCAGTTTATATCATTTAAGAAAAAAAAAAAATGCAACCAGGAAAAATGTTGTGTTCCACTTAAAATCAAAGAATATAAATAAAAATAACAAATGCGTCATTTACTGTCCTTTTTGTTAATACTTACTAAACTGACAATCCTTCGTCTAAAACAAAAGCTTTGTTGCTAATATAAGGGCATATTGCAGTCTGGTTGGAAAAACTTTAGACTGTTGAAATATAAGCAATGTTCTTTACTCTTAGTGTTATTTTTGTTTACTTAACTTTCTTTCTTTCTTTCTTTCTTTCTTTCTTTCTTTCTTTCTTTCTT